AGTGAACTTGACGAGACTAGCAAGTCTAAAAAGCAGAGCGAGAAATACTGAAAAATAAAATTACCCATGAGGCAATATCAAAAAGCCTAATGTTTATGTCACTGAGGTTTCTGAAGAAGAGAAGAATTGTGTGTGAAATATATTTGAAGAAATAATGGCTGACAACTTTCCAAATTTGGAAAAAGATGTAAACTTACAGATTTAAGATACTTAGCAAATTTCAAACAAGGTAAACTCAAAGAAATCTACATGCAAACACATCGCAGTCAGACTGCTGAAAACCAAAGACAAAGAAAAAGCTGTGAAAACAGAGAAAAACAGACATTACTTAAAGGAAAGCAAGTGGAACGTAGATTTCTCTTCAGAATCTATGAAGGCCATAAGGCAGTGGAACAAGGTTTTAAAAGTGCTCTAAGACCCAGAATTCCATATCTAGTGAAAATACTTTTAGAAAACAAGATGAAAAAAGGGCATTGTTGGGTGAGGGAAAATGAAGATAATCTACTGCCAGCATGCCTACCGTAAAGGATGTGCTTAAACAAGTTTTCTTGAATGGAAGAGAAATGATAAAGGGACACTGGAAATTCAAGGTTGAAGGAAGCTTAACAAGGTTCAAGGTTAAGGAAGCTTAATTTGTCTTGTTAACAAATATACTAGGCTGTTTTTTCCTCTTTAAATTTTTAAGATAAGATATACATAAGGATTTAAAGTAAAACTTATAACATCCTCTAGTAAAATTTCACACACACACACACACACACACACACACACACACACACTACTTATGACAATCACAAGATAAAGAGAACAAAGGGACTTACATGGTGGTAAAGTTTCTATATTCCAAATGAAGTGATAACTATTACTTCTAAGTATCAGTGGAAAGTATGGCGATTCTTGTTATTTACAGTGGTTCTGTTCTATAAAATCTCATCAAATACTGAATAGCAAATATCGAGCCATGCTCTTAGAGGAAATGCAGGGTTAGGTTCCTGTGAGCCTCTGGTCACATTTTTATCAAGTGGCCAATATACTTGTTTTATATGTGTTTCTATTTAAAGACTTTTTATTTCATATACACTGTTGATTCACTGACATTGAACTCACAGCCAATAGTATTTTAACTTGTTCATGAATGAAGCTTATTTAACACATTTTCTGTCTAAGACACATGACAGCTTTTGTGTGTGTTTGTGTGTGTGTTTGTGTGTTTGTGTGTGTGTGGTTAGAAACACTAGATATCACTTTAGGATTATATTTAGGGGCCATTTAACATTTTGAATTTGCCCCAAAAGGCACAAAAATGTGAAATATGTGCCACTAGATAGACTGTGAAAAGAACATGTGGTTCTATTGTGGAAGCTGAAATAAGAAAGTTCAACCCCAGCTGGGAACACGCACATTGGGTGAATCAAACTTTTCACTTTCCCGTGTATATCTGCAAATGACCACAAACGTGCCACAGGTATTGATTTTATGGTTATAAAATAATTTTAATGAGTAGGTGAATTCACAAATTCAAGATCCATGAATAATGAAAACAGAATGTATATTTACTGTAATCCCTGAACAGTCACTTCAAAAAACCATGCAATAAGACATAGTAAAAGCACTAGAGATGTACCTCAACATGATAATATTTTCAAATCACCAGAAAGATATCACAGTTCCAAATTTGTATGCGCCTAAGTATGTTGCTTCAAAATGTATAACTCAAAAATAACAGAGCTACAAAAAGAAATGAAAATTTACAATTATAATGGGGAATTTAAAAAAATATCTTTCCTTCTGGGACTGCTTGAAAAGGCAGGCAAAAAATCAATGAGAATAGAAAATATTTTAGTAACCCTTGTTTTATGAAGAGCAAAACACACACTCAATAACAGCAGAATATTTTTTCCTTTTCAACTACACATGAACCATTTGCAATAATTTGCCATTTTCAGTAATTTGCTTGCATTAATGGGCCTTCAAACAAGTGTTGATAAATTTGAAAGCATTGAAATAATAGAGGATGTGTTCTGAGACTCAAGACACCTCAGTTGTAAATCAATTACAATGATTCAACAAGTATCTTTATATATTAAGAAATTAAGAAATATACTTCTATGATACCTATGGTAATGCTGATCTTGGATGAATGAAGATGTCTCATTTGAAATTAGAAATTCTTTGAACTGACTGAAAATTAAAACTGGTCTATGGAATGTGGATAAAGTTTGCCTGTGAGATATTGCTGAAGTTGTGTCTAGAGATAAAATGGTAATTTCAAATATTAAAAAAAGAAGAAAGACTGATAACGAATGAGTTAAACATCCATCTCATGAACTGGAATGAGAATAGTAAGTTAAACTGAGAGTTAAGTTAAAAAGGAAGTAAAAGAAGAGAAATAATAAACATGAGAGAAATTAACGAAATGATATTAAAATATTAAAAAACATTTGATACCGTACTGAGGCTGATCAGTAAAACCAGGATTGCCCAAATAATCAGGAATGAGGGAAGGAGGCATCACTTCAAATGCTACAGACAAAAAATGTTTATAGATAAAATGGACAAGTTCCTGAACAAAGGTCATTTACTAAAACTGACACAAGAAGAATTAGAAAATCTGGTAGTGTGCTTTTGTGTATATGCAATAAATGCCACAATTAAAAAACAAGGTTAAGGGGGCTGGGGATGTGGCTCAAG